TACCTTCCATTTTTATTTGTTTAATTTCAGTCCTTTGTATCATTATATCTAACTATACCTTCTTTTTCCTTGGTATTTTACTCCTCATATCTGTGGCCTCTTATCTTGTCTTAACACAGCTAAGCATGTTTAGATCTTAGACTCCAAGGGCAGAGTCCCCAAAGCCTTGGTAATTTTTGTTGCTTTTAATATTAACCCCATACTTGTTAATATCTTTCTAATAATGGGATGCCTAGTATTGAATGCAGCATTCCAGATCTGCTTGCACCAGGGCTATACAAAAAACAACCATTATCTCCATCTCTGTGACTTATGCAGCTGCATAGGTCTTTTTGCTGTCATCTCACATTAGAAGCACATCTAATGCCGTGTCCAGTCTCCAGCCTCTTGCGGTTTTGTTCAGCATTACTGCTTCTCAGAATCCTTCCTCCAATGGGCGTCCTGCTGGAGGTGTTCTGGGAGTGGAATGTTGCTGCCCCCAGCACCTGTCCTCCAGAGAGGCTCGGACCATGTGGCCTCCTCACTCCCCGGTGCTCTGGGAGCCAGGGAACACACGCTTGCCCCTTCCCATCTTTTCCCCTCCCCATGGTGGGGGGCAGGGCCTCAGAGGGAACGCAGCTGTAGGTAGGGCAAGGGGCCCGTCTCCCCAAGCCGCCCCTGTGTAATTCAGATGTTAATTCAGCCACACTTCTCCATATGGAATCGTATTTTGTTTCCTGAGTCACATTTTGTGCTAGATTTTTCACTTGCTAAGCTAACAGGATAATGCTCTTTGTGTGCACACAACCTTTTCAGATAACTTGCAGGACCTGAATCCCGCTGCTCCCTTTTGCCAGAAAGCACCTTGAGGCACAACTAAGTGTTGCTATATCTATCTAAGAGGGGAGCAACTGAGGCATAAAGTGATTATATTCTTTTCACAGGGTTACACAGCCAATCAGACTGAGCCAGGAACTCCTGACTCATTCATTGCTCTGGCAGAGCTGCAGTCTGATCTAACTTTTGGGAGGCATATGACACAGAAAACAAATATCCATGATAAAGGTTAAACCACGTGCTCCATCCAGATGGATTCACTCTTTAACCTGACTGAAAATAGATAAGACAAACCAATAAGAGGCCATTTGTTTTAGTGACATCTCTTGTGGTTTTGTCCGCTTTAGAACAGCGTGTGTGACAGCAGGCCATCTGGGTGTGTAAGGGCTGAACTGTTACAGCAATCTTGCCCTGGAGAGGACGTGTGGTAAACAACCAAGGTATTGCTGCAGCCATTTCATACATATCTCTTCAAAATGTAAATGGCTGTGATAACATCTTTGGCGATGCTGATTTGTGTGGTCTTCAAGTCTTGCAATGATACTTTAATCTGACACTATGGGGAGTAAACTCCTCTGCCCCACAGTCTGTTTGCACCATGCTGCTTGATGAGGTGCTAAGAATTGTCATTTTATATGACTGCTTTTCTAAGTGATGCAAAAGTTTCCATCAGGAACAATCTTACTGTACTTTTTCATGATTGAAGCTTAAAAAGCAAAATGAAGCTGCTAAAAACATCTTCCCTGCCTGTTCATCTGAGCACATCTCACTTTTTGAATCCCTGACACCCTATTAAGTTTAAATTTGTCTTCCCCTCCAAGGTCCTTCACATCTCTAACCCTCCCTTCTACTCTCATATCACATTGTCATTCCACTGCCTCCACTCCATTAACAAAGGCAGACTGAGACTGGATTAAGGCAAGCGGGGATCCCAGACACAACAGGACAAAGGAGCCACTTGTGGCTTTACCCTCAACTTGGAAGTTATAGAGTGTCATCCCACCTTTCCTAGAGCAGCATGGATAGCAATCTGGGGTTCTTTTCCTCAGGAATTCTCTTCTGCTCCCTCTCAAAGAGGCCCTCAGCTGAAGAAGTGGGCTTTACCCCCCAAAGCGCGCTCACTCTCTCTCACACAAAACGTTTAGACTGGCATGATTTTCCGGAAATGCTTCTAACGTTAAAAGCATTTTCGGAAAAGAGCGTCTAGATTGGCACGGACACTTTTCCACAAAAGCACTTTTTGCGGAAAAGTGTCCGTGGCCAATCTAGACGCGCTTTTGCGCAAAAAAGCCCCGAACGCCATTTTCGCGACTGGGGCTTTTTTGCGCAAAACAAATCTCAGCTGTCTACACTGGCCCTTTTGCGCAAAAGGGACTTTTGCCCGAATGGGAGCAGAATAGTATTTCCGCAAAAAGCACTGATTTCTTACAGTAGGAAGTCAGTGCTTTTGCGGAAATTCAAGTGGCCAGTGCAGACAGCTGGCAAGTTTTTCCGGAAAAGCGGCTGATTTTCTGGAAAAACTGGCCAGTCTAGACACAGCCAGAGAGACAGAGAGAGTGAGAGAGAGCTTTTGTGGGTAAAACCCACTTCTTCATATATAAATATATAAAGTCTCTCTAAAGCAGTGGTCTCCAACCTTTTTACACCCAAGATCACTTTTTAAGTCTCAGAACAGGTGAAGATCTACTGCCCCGCCCCTTCCTTGAAGCCCCGCCTACATTACATGAGGAAATCTAATGTAAATGCACTGCGCAGGTGCGCAGTTCAGAGAGGGCTCAAGAGCTACTCTTGGAGCCCCTGAGATCTACCAGTAGAGCGCGATCTACTGGTTGGTGACCACGGCTCTAAAGGTATTATTTCAGAATAACTGACTATTTCAAAATGCCAAAATGTGCGTCTTCACAGCAAGCCATTATTTCAAAATAATTTTGATATGGAGGACTTCTTACTCCAACTCCTGTAACCCTCATTTCAAGAGGAGTAAGAGAAGTCAAAGAAAGACTGTTCTTCCGTCAACTTCCAACTGTGTAGATAGCACCAACAGCCAATTAAGCTATTTTGACTTTGGTTACACAATTGACATAGCTGACTTTCCCCCTGCTGCGCAGATGTGCCCTAAGGTGCCACAGGACTTCTCATAGTTCTTAACAGGGTGTATCTGTGTTGGTGGGTAGATAGGGCTCTCTTCGCTTTTCTCCCTTCTTCCACAGTGTGTCCACTGCAGGTCTGGGGTTGGAAATCCCCTGAGATGTGGCTCTTGGAATTAGCACCCCATTGAAACATACAGGATAGTTCACCTCTCATCCTCCTCCCATGACTACACTTTAGGCTCAGTCTCTGCATCAGCGCCGGATTAAGGCATGGAGTAGCTGGGCAGCTGCCATCAGGCGCTGCACACCCGGCTGCCGGATCACGGGCTGCAGCAGCTCCCAGTGGCCACCCTGCAGCGGCCGCCCAGGGCGGGGGCCGTGTTAACCCCCGCAGCGCCAGCCAACAGCACGCTTCCCCCCGTGGCCCTGCACAGCCAGGCACGGCCCGCTCTGGGCTGTGCACCAGCGGCGGTAGCTGGGCCAGGCATGTGTGTCCTGCCGCCGCCAGCTCCGTGCGCCCTCCTCCACGCACCAGGCAGGGGCGGGGCCACACATGCACCCTCTCCCAACCCGGGGCACAATTAAACTATCTGCCCGGGGCACCGGAATGGCTCGGTCCGGCCCTGCTCTGCAGGTCAGGTGACCCTCACTGCAGCAATTACCCTCAGCTTACTTTCTGGAGGTTTTCTTCTCAGACACAAGTGCTAAAAACTTCCTTTAAAAAAAATTAAAACAGATTGTGATATAATCACAACTCCAGGTGCTAAAGCTCTAGGCAAGGGTGAATAGTAGGAATGCCTCAGTCTGTCTCTGGGTTAGCTACATCAGCCTATTATCAGTTTCTTATATAAATATTTCTTTAGTCTTCTTTAGCACTACACTCAACACTCCATGCCTTCAAATCCCTCACCGCCCACTTCCACCATGACACTGATAGCAAATTAATTAATTATGGCTTGATGAGGAATAAGAGAGTTTATCCACTTGGAAAAATTAACAAGTATATAAGTCTCAGAGGCGCAGCTGTGTTAGTCTGTAATTTTAAAAAACGAATGGTTCTGTAGCACCTTAGAGACTAACAAAAATATAGTGAGCTTTTGTGAGCACAACCCACTTCTTCAGATGCTCCATTCATCTGAAGAAGTGGGTTGTGCCCCACACACACACACACACACACACAATATACTATATATATTTATATTTGTTAGTCTCTAAGGTGCTACAGAACCACTTTTTTAAAACAGGTATACAGATATATAAAAATTGCATGTTTTATGTTTTCTTAATTTGAAAATTCTTCAGGGCAGGGAACATGCCCTTTGGTCAGCCTGATTTGGGCTTCCAGGCACTTATTCAATAGTAATAAATCCTGTTTATATGGTCTATGGAAAACCCGTGAGGTTCCTTAGTGGGGAAAATGGAATTACATGATTTTAGCTGTACACTCTGGTATGTGTCTCAGCTACAGAAATGTGGGTTACATTAATTGATTACAGACATTTAAAGGTCTTGATGGACATTAAGTTACCTCACAGGAGTGTTGTGAGTCTATTAGCCATTTCTGGAGCCATCATCCTCCAGCGACTTGCTCCAAGGATACATATAGTATGGACCTTTGTGCACTGGTGCAAGTCCTTGTGCTAGCTTACCCCATTGTAGGGTCAAAGCCCACATCAGCTGCATAGTTTGATTGTGAACAGAGGGCAGTAGTGGCCCTTTGTGTGGGTCACAAGTCTGCAGGGACACTATTACTTGAGGAAGTGCGCTGTGGCCACGAAAGCTCATGTTTTTTTTCTTTGTAACTTTAAAAAAAACAAGTAGTCCTGTAGCACCTTAGAGACTAACAGGGCTACCCCCTCCCCCCAGCCTCCTTCCAATGTGTTAGCAAGAAAGTAAGACCCTGTTCTGACCAACGCGGGGCTTCTGCCTACCAACACCGAGGCACCCGAGTAACTTGGACCCGAGGGCTAGCTTCATAAAAGTCAGCGGGGGCTGTTTCCGCGGCGGGAAAGCGACTCGGGCACGTGCGTTCAGGGTGAGGGGAGGGCGCGCCATAGGACGCCGGCTGCAGGGGAGCAGCAAGCCCGCAGCCGCAGTCCCGCTCCCGCCCGAAGAGGACTCCAGCTAACCAGAACAAACAGCGGGGAGCCCCGCCGCCACCCCCCGCGTGAGAAAAGCTGCAACGCCACCCAACCCCTGCGCGCTGCTGCTGCTGCATTCCGGCTGCAAGGTGTCCGAGAGGAGCCGCAGCTACTTCCCCTCCCCACCCGCCGCGAATAGCGGCCAGGGAAAACCCCAGCGAGCTTTTCACCTGGCTCCGCAGTACACTGGGGCTCAGCCCTGGCCGCGCTCCGCGGGACGCTGGGGGGAGACCAGCTCCTCTGGTGCACGCATCCGAGACCTGCCTGCACCAAGGGACCGCCCCCTGGCCCCCTCTTAAAGTCACACACAAAGCCAGCATGTGGGGCCTTTGGTTTGCCCCCCAGCGCCGCGCTCCTCCAAACGCCCACCGGAGGCTGGAGGCGACTGCAAACGCGCGTCTGCCAACGCGCCGCGGCATTTCCAAAGGGTTTGTGTTTAGCAACGCAAAGCCCGTGACCCTCCTTGGCAGTCCAGGCAGGCGCTGTTCCGGGTGAGCTTTAGCGGTGCAGACTCACAGCCCCCGTGCACGGTGCCCCTCAGCCAAATCTCCCCCCGCCCAAAGTTTTGTCTGGTCGCCTTTGTTACTTGAATGTCCCGCCTGAGCCGCGGTGCTGCGGCAGGGGGAGGCGTGTGAAACTCTTGCAGCCTTTTCTCTCTCTCTCCTTTTTCTTTAAAGACCAAAGCGCTTAAACTTCCTGAAATTGTTGAATTGCAGCCGAGCGGACTTTTCTTCTTCCCCCCTGGGGCTCGAAACTAACAGATCGAGGCAGGCTCCAAAACAGAGAGAGAAACCAGCAGCAGCGCGTTTCCTTTAGGGGACTCCCTGGACTTTCCCCTCTACCCCCTTTGCCTCTCCTGGGAGGAGCCCCGCAAAGGGCACATTGTAAAAATAAGACCTGGACCGGAGCCAGCAAGCGTAACATTCGCAGTGACAGTGGTCAGATCGCGGCGGATAAAGTAGGAATTCCTTCACCCGCTGATGTGAAGAGTCTCAGGAAGGAGCTGAAATATTTCCAGCAGCTGTTGGTTGTTGCATCTTATCTCCGTCTCCAAACGCCTCGATGCAGCCCTAACTTACACTAAAAAAAAAGGGGTGAGTGAACTGCACTTTTGGGGATCTTTACACGAGCAGTCCAAGGGCTGGTGGGGGAATACGTTGCTGCTTAGCCCTAATGCAAAGAGGAGATCTCGGCAGCAGCAAATGGCAATCGTGTAAGATTTCGGCTTCGAGCCTGGGTCACCAGTTGTCTTGTTTGAATCGCAGGTTGTTGCCATTAAAACGGGCTCTGTTGTGTTGACAAGTCGTTTCTCTTGAGAAAGAGCTTACAAAAATAAAAGTGTGGGCTGTGTCTGATCTACTTTACGGGGCAGGCTGACACTTTCTGCGTGATGGGTTGTGTTTGTCCAGTTTTGACTGTTTGCGGAGGCATGGGATGCACTGACAGCGAGAGCCTGTTTGAGTCAAAACAAAACAAACCAGCCAAAACGAGCAAGTTCTCTATTAATATACATAAATAAAAAGGGAGAATCTCGGGGCTTTTGATAACTTTGAAGAGTGAGTCACCTTCGAAAACAAAATGCTTCATTTTATCCCCAGGATACACATTAATGCAGAAACTGGGGGGGGGGGGGGGGTCC